ATAAGAAATGGTACCCGCGACATTAGGGTATAGCTAACCTGTGATATAAAAGTATATATGTACTTGTGACAAGTGTCTACATATTTGTATGAAATAAATTGTGAAGAATATTTTCTTTTTTAATCTAATAATATGTGTTATACAGTAAATTCATGCAACGTATCCCAAGTTTGTGTTGTCAATCATGTCGCGTGTCACTTTATCTAAGGTTTATTTTACTTATAAGTTCACCGATGCCGTGTGTCATTCTATTTGAAGTTTATTTTATTTGTAAGTTCTTCAATACAATAATATATATATTGATCTCTCACCCTAATTGGGGGAGTCTTTTGACCCTATTTTGAACCACCTCATTTAGATTGAGAACAGACTTTGCTTGTACATGAAAAACACATAAGAAAAGTAATATCATAACAGTAGATATAAGATTTGCACCTTCCATCCAAACTATTTTTAAAATTCTTGGTTATTTATGTTTGTACATAACTAACATGTTTTCTATTGAAAAAGACTCAATTGACATGTAGTTATAATTACACGTTTAAAAATGCTTAACATGGTGGATCATCTTTGTGATATGCCCATCCCAAAGGACAGACTCTGCATCATAGAAAAGCACGAATTATTGATAATAACAACGAAAAATTAAATGAAAATAAAATATCACATCTCATACCGACAATTCAACTTTTCGTGTTCTTCTTCCACCTAACTTTAACCCTATCTCACCATACCCTTTATGTTTTTGTCTCATAAATTTGTCCCTAAATGTTTGCTTTGCCTTTAATCATCCAAAATTATTAGATTGATCTAATATTATTGTTTTTATTATTAGAAATGTATATTGTTTATCTCAGAAGAAATATATTAAATGGACCATAGGGTCCATACAGGAATTGGGAATGATGTAGTTTTTCGCATCAACAAAAAGTAAGTAAGATTCGTGGTAGAATCTACATAAGAGTTTGTATAAAATATGTGATCTTGATACTAGATCGATCGATGAATAATAAATCAAACAATAATACAAGAAAGAGAAGTGGTTCGGATGTTTGGTGCAAATCTTGGTCACCTTTTTTTTTTTTTTTTTTTTTGCATTGAATGTGTTGAAACAAAATTCGATTTACAAAGAGTTTGCAATTGGTTTTACAACCTATCTCTTTCTCTTAGAAATAGATTATAACTGGTTTATATAGTGCCAATATATACGCTGAATTGGAAATAACTCAATTAGATAAAACAAGAAGTAGCGGATCTTGCCTGGATCATGGAATCCATATCGTGAAAATAGAAGAAATATATAAATGGACCATCTGGTCCATGAAGAACTGGGAAGTCTTCCAATTTTTTTATAATTGATTTTTTTTTGAGATCAGGGGTTAAATACTTACGCGCATCTCGACTAATCTTTGGAGTCTTGAATTAACAGGTATACCCTCAAGTTGCACCTTATTAGCAATAAGAAATCAAATTAATTTTCTTAGTATATACCAAAATCTTTATCGTTCCACTAAATAGTCTTCCATTTCTTCTTAAAAGTGCATTAATTTTCACTCCATTTCGATGGAGATAAAAGCCATATTCGGCGTGAGTTTGGTGTTCTCATGCCTTTCTAATCACTGCGCACCCACTAACAATTGGGTTGTTTTCAGTGAGGTTGCCCATCATTTCAGTGCACAATGGACGCACAACTCCATCAGAGGTATCAAATTAGGGGTCCCAATGTAAATTTACGACATAATTGAAGCAAGCTGATCTTTCACTAATTCTCATACCTTACTTAATTAGCCACCTTAACTGAAAGAATTCCCATAGGCTAATTGTAGTGTGTTCTTTACCCTTTTACAATCAAATCTAATTCTCTCATTAAACTCTTATCAAAATACAGTGGTAGCAATGGTAGACATGATTGAACCACAGGACCAAAAAAGCAGACCTAACAAATGCAATTATTTCCATCACACGAAATAAATTACTTTTGCCAATTATCGCTGCCAAAAATTATTGAGATGTGCCACCCATTCCATATGTGGACCCTTTTGTTTATAGCGCGACTCAACAGGAACGATACAGATTACAAAAGAAAAAAGATGGTGGACACGTGTAATTGGAGTGCATGGCGTCTTGTAGTGCTTGAAATATTATGGGTCTACGTGGCAGTTGGCAGATAACAGATTGGAAACAATACGGGGAATGGGGGATTCAAAACTGGAATCTTGCGTCTTCCTGTTTTCAGCTTCTCCCCAAACTGTTAAATTACACTAAATCCTTCTCCCCTTTCTGAGATCTTGACCGTTTAACTTCTTGCCCTCTTCTGCTTTCCCAGGTCTTAAAGTCTTAACTGCCCTTACGAAAGTTTGTACATTGCTTTGAATATTTGACTAACTGTCGTTACATTTACTCATATTCTTAAAGACTTTGGAATATTTTTTATTATGTTAAGGAAAATAAAGCTTTAATTATGAAGTTCTGTTTAATGTAAAAAAACATAGAACATTGACTTAAAGGACGTTTTCCGAATTTTGATTAATATGTTTTTTAATAACTGAGAGTCCCAACTACTAATGTACATAACTAATTTTCAAGGTGCTATCCCATAACAATCATCATTGTGGGGGTGGCAAAGAGTGCTTTTGCATCAGCGATAATCGAATCTAAACTGGAATTCTATTCATTTGCAACTCTTTGTTCGCCCTTATTGGGTACCATAGGTATGTGTAGAGAACTAAATTTAAAAGGTATCTTAAACATTTAAATTTTATTATTAGTGACATTAATGATGGGACCATACGTATTTGTAAAACCCACCATTGGGTAGCTTAAGTGATAGCACAAGTTGGGATGTTGGTTAAGGCATACATCTTAGATTCGAATACCCTGACTCCAAGATTTAGTAGGTATATGCGGGAATGTTGTGCTAACCACCTACACGCTGATCATGAACATATATTTTTTTTTTTTTTGTGTGATAAAAGTGTCGACAATTGGTACACCTCAAAATCTCTTAAGCTGAATTAACGATCGGATAAACTTCAGTGACGATCTCTATTAAATTGAGGAGAATCAAACTGATGACTCTTAATGATAATATCAAGTAATAAGTATATATATTTTCTTATTAAAATTCTAAACTATATATTAAATCGCCCAAACGGATATTATCAAGGTTATGTGAAATCGTTACACCACGTGTTTGCTCACTGTTCATAGCCTTTCGCAAAATTGCCACATGCCAAGGTACTTACTTCATTACTTTTATGTATTTAGAATATCAAGATTACTTACTATATAATAGGTGTAACATGTTTTAAACTTTACATCTAAAAACATTATTCATGAAGCATACTACGTACTCAACATACGTATTTAACATATAAACATAATTTAATTACACAAAAAAATCGAATTAACCTCTAAACTAATTCCACTAACCATCATGATCATGTCTTAACTAGCCTTTTTAAGAACCAATAGGGCGGCTTTACCCATGGATGGACACGTTAGTCAAAGTATTAATCTTGTTGTACATTTAATTTTATCTCACCGATAAATTGCAGCTGGTGGCAATCTTCATTGCACTTTGCTTTGATCTGAAATCTTGCTAAGAGTCAACTCAACCCAGATTAAAAATTTTTACCATGAGGTTTGAGTTAATCCATTGTCAAGAAGATTTCAAAAGTGACAATTTCACCCAAATGTACCTAAAGACTAAAATGCCCTAAATGATCATTTTGGTTTCTTATTTGAATTCATTTATTTATATGTTTAAATATAATATTGAAAGATGATAATAGATTTCATTTAGGAATTCATAAAAAGATAAATAATCTTTAACATATTATGTTAACTTTAAAAGGGATATGGTTTATTTAAAAAATTGTAAAAATAAATAAATTATTTTAATTTTTATAAAAATTTAGTAAAATCAATTATCATCTTCCAAATCCCATCTCACACACATGAAAATTTAATAAAAAAATAATATAGATAATATAAATAAGAAACTTAAAAGCAATAATTTAGGGTATTTTAGTCTTTTTTGGTTACGAATTGGGCGACTTTGTATTTTCTGAATCATCTTGGTGTATTAGTCAAAACTCAAACCTAAAGGGTAAAATTTAATTTCGTACAAACAGTCGCCCCGTGAAGGACGCAACGCAAAGGAGGGGCATGTGTCCTTTCACTCTCGTTCTCCACCACAAATGCTGTTTGTCTGGTTTGGTGAATGTATGGCACTCTGTGCGTGAACTGAATAGAGAGACAAAAATACACCGAAACTGTGACCGATAAGAGAGAGAGAGAGAGAGAGACAGAGAGAGATTGAAAGGTTGAGAGATTGAGAGTGAGATTTGAGCCTCACTCTGCTCATAATCGTCCAAATCCATTCACTGAGAAGAAGAAACTGCTTCTGCGCAAAGCAATGTCTCTTAATCGCAGAATTCAATGCTTCTTCTTCTTTTTCCGGATTTGACTCTTCAAAATAAACAACTCTGGAGTTTGTGAGTATGTCACGAGCATTTGCATTATTGGCATAAAATTTATTATTTTTCTCTCCTTCGAGCTGAAGAGAATTAAGTGAGGATATCTTTTGTTTAATTGTTTGCTTATTTTTGCTTTTTCTTTTTTTTAATTTTTTTTTCTTTCTGTGGAGAAGTTGACATTGAGGTTGCGTAATGGATAATTTTCAAGATTTTGGTATCTCATAATTTACACTTTGTTGCAGCTGATATCTCCACTGTAGATCTTTTACCGGATTCTCTGAAACATCGATGATACCGAGTCAGAGCGCCATGGCCGGAGAGATCTTAAGCTCAGCTCTTCCTTTCTGAGCAATGCAACTGGAGAAATCTTTAGCAAATATCGACGTTCTTATTTTCTGATACACTTGGCTAGTTGGCTTAGAACTTAGAAGAGGTAAAAATTAAAAACTCAAAAAAAAAAAAAAAAAAAAAAAATGTAAAATCGTGACATTTTCAAAATTTCCTGATAAATCATTGCTTGCAAAGTTCATTTCTTCAGCTAGATAAGATGTCATCTTGGGAACATTTTGGAGAGATAGCGAATGTCGCCCAACTCACGGGCATTGATGCGGTTCGACTGATAGGAATGATAGTAAAAGCTGCAAGTACGGCTAGAATGCACAAAAAGAACTGCAGGCAATTTGCGCAGCACTTGAAGTTGATAGGGAACTTGCTGGAGCAGCTCAGGATCTCGGAGCTTAAGAAGTACCCGGAGACACGTGAGCCTTTGGAGCAGCTTGAGGACGCCCTTAGAAGGTCTTACATTTTAGTAAATAGTTGTCAGGACCGGAGCTATCTTTATCTCCTTGCCATGGGGTGGAACATCGTGTATCAGTTTCGGAAGGCGCAGAATGAGATTGATCGATATTTGAAGATTGTTCCTCTTATTACTCTTGTTGATAATGCTCGAGTGAGGGTATTGATTGTTCTTGGTCCCTCCTTTTTACTATCAAATGAAGACTGTTTTAGTATTTGTAGAAGCTTTTATATTGTTTACAAAAGTTATTACTGGTTTGCTTTGTCAAATGACTTGTGACGAAAATGATTAACCCTGCTCTTGCAGTAATATTTTTTTTTCTTTGGATTCAATTAGACTCGGGTTTCATGAAAATTTTAATTACTGGAAAGAAAGTTCAGTGGGTCAATTGGACTTACATGGAATATTGAGAAATCACCTAGTGGGATTTGATGGGATGACCACCTTTTGATGCTTCCATTGTTTGACGATGCGATTGTGGATTGCACTTCTTTGTTGATGAGTACATGCAACTCTGTTTCGTATTGTTCTGCATCAAAGATTGATAACGTATTGTTTTGCATCATATATTGATTAGAATGTGCCTGGGGTCTTGTAATTATGAGAGTTAGATCAATAAGATCACTCTGTTGGATCTTTTAGTTTCCTTGATAGTATGTGGTGGTGATGTTTTTTATAACATAATCTTTGAGCTGAATAATTTTAGATTATCTGATACTTGACAGGAGAGACTGGAATATATTGAGAAGGATCAATGCGAATACACATTGGATGAGGAGGACCAAAAGTTGCAAACTGCTATCCTGCATAGGGAACCTTCAAAACATGAAACTATGGTTCTTAAAAAGACTTTATCTTCTTCCTACCCAAAAATGGGGTTTAATGAAATATTGAAAAAGGAAAATGAAAAGCTTCAACTAGAATTGCAACTATCACAGGCTAATATGGATGTGAACCAGGTTGAAGTGATTCAGCGTTTGATTGATGTTACAGAAACTGTTGCAGCAAGTCCTCTTCCGGAAGAGAGTTCCCCAAAAAAAGTTTCTAAGAAAGTAGAGCGCAACTATTCTGATGCTGATAGTGAGCAACATTATTCGTATGATGAGCACTCTCCTAAAAAAGTTGATTCTCGCACGACTTCCAGGTTATATATTCTTTTCTGCTTTTATGCCTCCTAGGTTGAATTCACATTACAGTTAATTAATGGTGCTCATGTTAGCATGTGGGGTAGTCTGTATATATCACCTTGTATTATATTTTTCATATATTTTGTTCTATAATATGTATCAATAACATAATTTTAATATACCAAAAAGTAACTGCACTTTTGACTGGATAATGTGGTTTGAATTGATACACAGGATCTAAAAATGTGACTAGTTTTATCTGAAGCAGTTGGGATTTAGGCTGTGCCTACTAGAGTTCATATGTATTCCTATTGTCCTTTAGCATCTGTTTGTTTGCATGATTAAAATTTTTGATACTGTAGCTAGTATAACAAAGGGTGCTGAAAGTGTGATGCCACCTTTTCTGTTCAGAAACACATCTTCAGTTTCATCAGGACAGGATCTACTGTCAAGAAGGGGCTCTTTTCAGCATGAAGAATGGCATAGTGATCTGCTCGGCTGTTGTTCTGAACCTCTTCTGTGTATGTCCTCTCATGCTGTTGATCACTTTAGATTATCTTTTGGAAATTGTATTTTGTTAGAGTAGTCAATAGTCATATGGTGGTCTGTTTCATGCCCATTGCATTTCTGTTTTAGCTGTAACATTGAAATCTGGTAATATGCCTTTGTTTTTACATAGCTACATTTATGCACCTCCTACCAATTCATGATGGTGAAGTCTATACCTAATTTCATTTTGTCTCTTTCAACTCTATGACTAGAGTCACATCCTGTAGATGATAGATTGAGAAATATATGCTGCTGAACTGAAATCTTGTATATTCCAAATATTTGCTCAGTGTCTAAGCAGCTTGTCCCCATTGCAGGTATAAAGACGTTATTCTATCCTTGTGGCACATTATCAAAGATTGCAACTGTGGCGAATAACAGGCACATTTGTAAGTAGTTTCTAACCTTTGGGTCAGTTTCAAACTAATAGTTGCCTATCCTGTGTTTAGATGTGATAGAATTAGAACCTGGGCATTTAGGCCCAATCTGCTAACTTGAACATATTTTTGGCTCATGTAATTTTTGTAGGAATTTTTCCATTATTTGTTTTGTATTTTGTTGCTTGTGCAAACTTTTTAGTTTAAAGTTTAAACTTGGAATATTCTGATCATGTTAAAATCTTGTATTACACCAACAGCTAAACGTATTCAAATGTTCCCTTTCAAAACACAAGTTAATGCTCCAAGATGCTCTGACCCACTAAAAAGAACTCCCGCTAGATATATCACACTATCTGCATACTCTTTTGCTTATAGTCTACTTTAAGCCAATTTGAGTTACAGATGTTACAATTTTATGTAAAAGGGCTATAAATTGTTTTGGATGCCTCATGGAGCACATGGTTCTTTAAGTGACATAATTGTCTGGAAGACTAGGTAATCAGACCTTGATTTCATCTTCAGTGTTAGTGATCTAGCATTCTCTTTAGAATTTGAAGGCTCCACTGAGTACCTTTGGCCCAAAAGAATTGGAAAAAAAAAAAAAAAACTGATGCTGATTATTAATTGTGTAAAGTTGGTCATAGTCAGGATCATCAGGTTTCTGAATTCTGTTGCTCACTAGTTTGTTTAAAGATATGACCTGGTTTAGCTGGCTATAGTAAACATAATTTAATTACACAAAAAAATCGAATTAACCTCTAAACTAATTCCACTAACCATCATGATCATGTCTTAACTAGCCTTTTTAAGAACCAATAGGGCGGCTTTACCCATGGATGGACACGTTAGTCAAAGTATTAATCTGTTGTACATTTAATTTTATCTCACCGATAAATTGCAGCTGGTGGCAATCTTCATTGCACTTTGCCTTTGATCTGAAATCTTGCTAAGAGTCAACTCAACCCAGATTAAAAATTTTTACCATGAGGTTTGAGTAATCCATTGTCAAGAAGATTTCAAAAGTGACAATTCACCCAAATGTACCTAAAGACTAAAATGCCCTAAATGATCATTTTGGTTTCTTATTTGAATTCATTTATTTATATGTTTAAAAATAATATTGAAAGATGATAATAGATTTCATTTAGGAATTCATAAAAAGATAAATAATCTTTAACATATTATGTTAACTTTAAAAGGGATAGTGGGTTTATTTAAAAAATTGTAAAAATAAATAAATTATTTTAATTTTTATAAAAATTTAGTAAAATCAATTATCATCTTCCAAATCCATCTCAACACACATGAAAATTTAATAAAAAAATAATATAGATAATAAAATAAGAAACTTAAAAGCAATAATTTAGGGTATTTTAGTCTTTTTGTTACGAATTGGGCGACTTTGTATTTTCTGAATCATCTTGGTGTATTAGTCAAACTCAAACCTAAAGGGTAAAATATTAATTTCGTACAAACAGTCGCCCCGTGAAGGACGCAACGCAAAGGAGGGGCATGTGTCCTTTCATCTGTTCTCCACCACAAATGCTGTTTGTCTGGTTTGGTGAATGTGGCACTCTGTGCGTGAACTGAATAGAGAGACAAAAATACACCGAAACTGTGACCGATAAGAGAGAGAGAGAGAGAGAGACAGAGAGAGATTGAAAGGTTGAGAGATTGAGAGTGAGATTTGAGCCTCACTCGCTCATAATCGTCCAAATCCATCACTGAGAAGAAGAAACTGCTTCTGCGCAAAGCAATGTCTCTTAATCGCAGAATTCAATGCTTCTTCTTCTTTTTCGGATTGACTCTTCAAAATAAACAACTCTGGAGTTTGTGAGTATGTCACGAGCATTTGCATTAATTGGATAAAATTTATTATTTTTCTCTCTTCGAGCTGAAGAGAATTAAGTGAGGATATCTTTTGTTTAATTGTTTGCTTTTTTTCTTTTTCTTTTTTTAATTTTTTTTTCTTTTTGGAGAAGTTGACATTAGGTTGCGTAATGGATAATTTTCAAGATTTGGTATCTCAATTTACACTTGTTTGCAGCTGATATCTCCACTGTAGATCTTTTACCGGATTCTCTGAAACATCGATGATACCGAGTCAGAGCGCCATGGCGGAGAGATCTTAAGCTCAGCTCTTCCTTTCTGAGCAATGCAACTGGAGAAACTTTAGCAAATACGACGTTCTTATTTTCTGATACTGGCTAGTTGCTTAGACTTAGAAGAGGTAAAAATTAAAACTCAAAAAAAAAAAAAAAAAAAATGTAAAATCGTGACATTTTCAAAATTTCCTGGAAATCATTGCTTGCAAAGTTCATTTCTTCAGCTAGATAATATGTCATCTTGGGAACATTTGGAGAGATAGCGAATGTCGCCCAACTCACGGGCATTGATGCGGTTCGACTGATAGGAATGATAGTAAAGCTGCAAGTACGGCTAGAATGCACAAAAAGAACTGCAGGCAATTTGCGCAGCACTTGAAGTTGATAGGGAACTTGCTGGAGCAGCTCAGGATCTCGGAGCTTAAGAAGTACCCGGAGACACGTGAGCCTTTGAGCAGCTGAGGACGCCCTTAGAAGGTCTTACATTTGTAAATAGTGTCAGGACCGGAGCTATCTTTATCTCCTTGCCATGGGTGGAACATCGTGTATCAGTTCGGAAGGCGCAGAATGAGATTGATCGATATTTGAAGATTGTTCCTCTTATTACTCTTGTTGATAATGCTCGAGTGAGGGTATTGATTGTTCTTGGCTCCTCCTTTTTACTATCAAATGAAGACTGTTTTAGTATTTGTAGAAGCTTTTATATGTTTACAAAAGTTATTACTGGTTTGCTTGTCAAAGACTTGTGACGAAAATGATTTTTTTTTTTTTTTTTTTGCATTGAATGTGTTGAAACAATAATTCGATTTACAAAGAGTTTGCAATTGGTTTTCAGCAACCTATCATCTTTCTCTTAGAAATAGATTATAACTGAGTTTATATAGTGCCAATTATACTGCTGAATTGGAAATAACTCAAATTAGATAAAACAAGAAGTAGTGTGATCTTCGACCTGGATCATGGAATCCATATCGTGAAACATCAGAAGAAATATATTAAATGGACCATCTGGTCCATGCAAGAACTGGGAAGTCTTCCAATTTTTTTTATAATTGATTTTTTTTGAGATCGAGGGTGTTTAGATTAGCTTACGCGCATCTCGACTAATCTTTGGAGTCTTGAAATTAACAACCAGGTATACCCTCAAGTTGCTATCCTTATTAGCAATCAAGAAAAATCAAATTTAAATCTTCTTAAGTAATTTATCTAAAAATCTCTATCGTTCCACTTAACCACTTAAAAGGTGGTTTAGTCTTCCATTTCCTTCTTAAAAGTGCATTAATTTTCACTCCATTTCGATGGAGATATAAAGCCATATTCGGCGTGAGTTTGGTGTTCTCATGCCTTTCTAATCACTGCGCACCCACTAACAATTGGGTTGTTTTCAGTGAGGTTGCCCATCATTTCAGTGCACAATGGACGCACAACTCCATCAATTTATAAGAGTCATCGAATTAGGGGTCCCAATGTATAATTTACGACATAATTGAAGCAAGCTGATCTTTCACTAATTCTCATACCTTACTTAATTAGCCACCTTAACTGAAAGAATTCCCATATGGCTAATTGTAGTTGGTTCTTTACCCTTTTTACAATCAAATCTAATTCTCTCATTAAACTCTTATCAAAATACAGTGGTAGCAATGGTAGACATGATTGAACCACAGGACCAAAAAGCAAGACCTAACAAATGCAATTATTTCCATCACACGAAATAAATTACTTTTGCCAATTAATCGCTGCCCAAAAATTATTGAGATGTGCCATCCCATTCCATATGTGGACCCTTTTGTTTATAGATCGTGGACAACAAATAGAGCGACTCAACAAGAACGATACAGATTACAGAAGGAAAAAAGATGGTGGACACGTGTAATTGGAGTGCATGTGCGTCTTGTAGTGCTCGAAATATTATGGGTCTACGTGGCAGTTGGCAGATAACAGATGTGGAAACAATACGGGGAATGGGGGATTCTAAAACTGGAATCTGTGCGTCTTCCTGTTTTCAGTTTCTCCCCCAAACTGTTAAATTACACTAATATCCTTCTCCTCCTTTTCTGAGATCTTGACCGTTTAACTTCTTGCGCTCTTCTCTGCTTTCCCAGGTCTTAAAGTCTTAACTGCCCTTACGAAAGTTTGTACATTGCTTTGAATATTTGACTAACTGTCGTTACTATTTACTCATATTCTTAAAGACTTTGGAATATATTTTTTTATTATGTTCAAGGAATAAAAGCTTTTAATTATGAAGTTCTGTTTAATGTAAAAAAAACATAGAACATTGACTTAAAGGGACGTTTTCCGAATTTTGATTAATATGTTTTAATAACTGAGGCGCCCACACTAACTTACATGTACTATAACTAATTTTCAAAGGGTGTTATCCCATAACAACTCATCATTGTGGGGGTGGACAAAGGTAGTGCTTTTGCGTACAGCGGATAATCAAATCTAAAACTGTAAATTCTATTCATTTGCAATCTCTTTGGTTCGCCCTTCCTATTGGGCTACCCATAGGTATGTGTAAGAAACTAAATTTAAAAGGTATCTTGAAAACATATTTTTTTTTAAATTTTATTATTAAGTGACATTAATGATGGGACCATTACGTGTTTGTAAAACCCACCATTGGGTAGCTTAAGTGATAGCACAAGCATTGGGATGTATGGTTAAGGCATACAATCTTAGATTCGAATACCCTTGGCTCTCAAGATTTAAGTAGGTGATCATGACGATAGAATGCTGTGCTAATCACCTACACGCTAATCATGAACATATCTTTTTTTTTTTTTTTTTTGGTGATTAAAAGTGTTCGACTCAACTTGCGTACACCTCAACTAATCTCTTAAGGCCCTGAAATTAACGACCGGATAAATCTTCAGTGACGATCTCTATTAGCAATTG